TTCAAATGATTCATCTTATCATTTCCATTAATGAATTAAGGATTTTTAAGTATGACTTACTTCATGATATATCTTAAAGCATACTTTACCTATCATTGCTTCATTGTTCTATTAGTTGGATATATCCATTAAATGATATATGATGCAAATGAAAGCACACTCATAGGGGGAGATTATTGATAATCTCTTATGAATATTTATTGCATGACTTGTTATGCTTAATTAACTTATTTTGGAAACTGTCAAGCATGCTACAAAATGACTTCCTGAAAATATCAAATGGGAAAAATATATTAGGTTTGAAGCACACTTAAATCCCTAGATTTGCCTTGCAAGGTTTTTGTCTTTTGATTTATTCTAGTCCATGTTTTTTATTTATTTATTTATTATTTTTTATGATTTACTATGAATACTTTTGTATACTCTTGCTTATTTGAGTTTATGCTTCATTCTTTGGTTTATGACTTATGTATACTTTGGTATATGCCATGAACCTTTATGATCTATTGAGCTCATGCTATCAATGAAATTGGTATTTTAAGATATAATTGCTTATATGTTGCATTCCAAAGTATATTATAGTCATTACCACTATATTGCCAATTCTTGATGCCATTACTTCACTATGTCAAATGATCTATGCCAAATGAAGTTGTTTAGGCCTCCCACCTTTTTGAGATGACAAAAGGGGAGAAATATGTGTGATGTGATTCAAATGCCTTGATGTTATATATATCATTATCTCATTGTGCTTACATGTCAAATGAATGATATATATCTTTTAAATGGAAACATGTTGACATGGAGAGATTTATAGAAATCTCTTAGAGCTTAAAATGATCTTATATGCATGTTAATGTCTAAAATTCATGAAGAATATACAAGCATGCTATTTTATAACATTATATTCATTGAATGTACTTTGATAGGGGGAGCATTTTTCAAATGCTACTCCACTTGCTTATGAACACATCAATGTTTTGTCATCATCAAAAAAGGGGAGATTGTTGACCTTAATGATTTCATCCAAGTACAATCTAAAGGTTTTGATGATAACAAACCATTAATGGTGTTTAAGGACTAATGTTTACATTGAGTGCTATAGATTATTCACATTCAAAGGATGACCTCAATGAAGCACGAAAGATCATTCCGAGTATTCCATTATTCAAGATCATATCAAGGAAAACAATGGATACAAAAAAGACATGAAGTTGCAAAGAAGCAAATACAGAGTCCATCCAAAGATAGCTTGGACTACAACGAGCAAGAAAGCAACTCAAAGAAAGGAAGAAAGCAAGTCTACCTCAAAGCCTAAAGATTATGGACAAATCTTGAAGAAAAGGGTAGATAGGATGGTGAGTGTTTAGGATTCAATGTCAAACTATTTATGAATCTATTTGAAACTCATCTCTATAAGACCATGCATATCATATCATCATTTATATGCTCCCATATCCATTAGCAATAGACTATGCACTTCATTCTTATATAATTATAGATGAAGTCATTGCTAAAGAGTGAGTTAGTTCAAGCTTGCATAAGTTTTGAAAGAACTCATCACTTGTGCTAGAAATGCTAAGACCATGCACATCATCATATAATTCATATTGGTCAACAATTAAGGCATGAGAAGCCTTCATTACCATGAGTTGGTAACGGACATTAGGACCCCAGAATGCGCGTCATGAAAAACTGTGTTTTTGGCTAAGTGTGAAAAATGGATTTTTGAAATAATGATTATTTTAAAATAATTTTTCCCGATAATAACTCTTTATACTTCAATTAGCCTAAATTGATTTTATCAGAATTTTTGACCAAGTCTACATTGGTCTACATGCGGATTCATTTTTACCAAAATTGTCGGAAATCTAAATTTATACTAAAACTGAATTTCTACATTTTGATTTAGTTGGATTTTAATTTTCTAGTATTTTTTATTGAATCCAAATGGGGGGTACTTCCTTATTTACATTGTAAACTTAAAGTAAATGGACATATTACTTAAATGTTTTCAATGGAAATAAGGTTTGTGCACATGTCCTGTGGAGTAACTGTTTCATCTGTTAACCTAGAACATGTTCTGAAGCATCAATTCTATTTCGGCCTACCAAAATACAAGACCAACTCAGTTCGGTCTACCAAAACAGAGATACTGAGGATGATGCATCAGTTCTATTTCGGTTTACCGAAATACAAGACTAACTCACTTCGGTCTATCGAAACAGAGATACTGAGAGGATGATATGCAACCTTAAGACCATTTCGGACGACCGAAACACAAGGGTGTTTCATTTTGGTCGACCGAACCTACATAGATTTGAATCTGAACGGCTATTTCCTCTCGGGCAGTGTGCACAACAGCTCTATTTTTAAATTTGTTGCTGAAACTCTATAAATAGAGTAAGGGGACTTTGGGAATAGAAGTTGCTACCATATAAAAACATCTTCTAGCATCCAAAGAGCTCTTGTTTATCATTCATATCATACTCTCTCATCCCATATCATTCATAGAATATTGAGCTTCAATCTATTCATATATATACTCTAGAGTGAGCTGAAAGTTGTGAGCTAAACTATGTATATCAAATTTGTGAGAGATTATAGTGAGCTTTGATTTGCATATCAATATTTGAGAGATACATTTGTATGTAACAAATCTGATCTTCAATTTGTAAGGGCTGGTGTGGCCCAAGAAAGAAGAAGCAAGCTAGCTTCAATTTGTAAAGGGTTAGTGTGACCCAAAGGAAGACTAAGAGAGGTTGCCTCTTAGCAAGGTGAAGCAACGAGTTGCTTCATGTAAATGTTTGCTCTCCACCCGTAAGGAGAAGCCATAGTGGATTGGGAAGTCTCAAGAGGGGTCTTGAGCTGAGGAGCAGGAGTTTCCGAACCTCGTTAAAATCGCCATGTGAATGTTTGCAAATCTCTCTTCCCTTATCTCCTTTACATTTATGCTATAAATTGCTTATGCCTATATATTGATTATTGCATAATTGTTAGAAGGTTTAAGTAGAATTTGCAAATCCAAAAATTGGCCATTGTTTGCCATAAACTCTATTCACCCCCCCTCTAGAGTCAATACTTGGGCAACACTGTTGATCATCGAAAAGGAAAGAATAACACATTAGGACATCGTTTCCCATTTAGGACATGATTACATACAAGGTATAATTTCAAAGTTCCAAAAATATAGAAAATCCAATTTCAAATTGGATTCTATCAAGTGGGAACCGGTACCTGAATTTGGGAACCGGTTCCAGAAGCTGAGATTCGAGAAAATCTTTCTGTCCTTTGGGAACTAGTACCAAGATTGGGAACCAGTTCCAGAAGTCCTAATTGCAACATGTTTCTAGTTTCCTTGTTCTATTTAATTCCTTTTTGATCCAACTTCCCTTTCAAGTCTTATGCACGAAATTTGCTTTATTTTCAGAAGGAATAGGACTTTACAAACCTGTATATAAACCATGTCATATACATTGGTTGAAGTACGACTTTACATCATTATTCATATATTATACTAAGCCTTAGGAAGTTTATCCCTCTCAAAAAATCACAGTTGATTCTTTTGTTGTCTTCCTAGAACAAACACATATTCTGTTGCGTGCGACTCACAAAATGTGTCAACTAGCCCGTTTTGCCTTCTGACAGTCTAAATGGTCTCCATAATCCTCAGCAACCCATTCTACATCAAGTGCCATCCAGAACTGAAAACTTAAAATTACAACATACAATGCGACTTGATAGCAGTCAAAGAGTGTCAAATACATCAAGAGCTTATGAGGTAATGATAACTTTGAGCGCAAGCAAGGAACACCTATACGTACTTTCATGTATAAACAACCGAAATATATGACTAAATCTACGGACCAGCTGATATTGATGCACATCAGAGTTTGTTCTGATAGATCCTCTAAATGTTCAATGAATTTTCAGAGAGAAAAAATGTCAAAACCCAAGCCGTTTTATTTATTTATTAAGACAAGGAACCACTCCACTCATTTTACTTCTATAGACTTTAACGTTAAAAGGGCAAAAACGAAAGATGCACTACATTTACTTTATGTCACATGTCACAAAAAATTGTTTTTGAAGGTGTGTACCAATTTTGGGAATTTCATAGTGGCAATGTTGCACGCCTTGAATAAAATTCGAGCTATGTGTCTAAAATATGATGTGATATGCCACCAATTTTAATAGATCTCACACTTTCTTTATTTTCTTATGAAAGTATTAACATATTTAAGTTATATTTAAATTAAGAAACTAATTTACCAAAAAATAAATTAAAAAAACAAACAAATTCAAAGATGAGCAGATAGTTCCAATCACACACACATATATATTTGTATGTATTCATTAGTATGAATTACCCATTCAAGGAGAAGTGAGAAGAACATTAAATGATTTATGTATTTATATAATTATGCAAATATAAAAATTGGTTGAGAAAATTTGTGTTCTTATTGAAGAGAAAGACTTGACTCCTAAAATGTCTCTCAAAGAGTTATGAGGTTCACATTTTATCATAAATAATTTTTCCTATTTTTTCTCTCAATTCTACCATGTATTCTCTATACAAAATCGCTCTTAGAACATGTAAGTTAAGTAGCCAAAGTTTAGTCTGACAATGAAAACTGAAAACCTGAGGATGTGTTCCGATAATTTATCCTAAATTTTAAAGTTGAACTTTTATTTTCAGCTTCCATTTAAGAAACAGTTGGCCATGTGAGTTAACCTTTAATTCCAAATTTAAAGGCTGCATTTATGTAATGGTTATTAAATTTACATTACAATGATGATATAGAATAAGAGCTCAACAAATGATTTTGTTGAACAATTTTTCATCAGCTATGTACCAAGTACACTACCACTAAGGGTTATACTTTAGTGGTACTTTCTCACCTTCTAAAGTAGAAGGATGAGAGTTGAAGTCCTCGTAGAGGTAAAGTGGGTGTGTGAATATGTTTCTTGCCAAAAAAACAAAACAATGACGAAGCACACTAGCAAGAATATGGAGTTGCAACAACCAGCAGAGGATACTTCTTGCAGTTGGTTATGCCAGGGGCTTCAGTCAAGTCCATATCCTGGCCTTTTGCTCCATTAGGCAGTACAAAATTAAACTTATGCACAAGCTTTGCTAATGCAAGCTTATTAAGAGTCATGGCGAATTGGATTCCAGGACAACTTCTCCTGCCAGCTCCAAATGGAGTAAATTGGAAGTCCTGCCCTTTATAATCTATTGAAGTATTCAAGAATCTCTCTGGCCGGAACTCTTCAGCGTCTTCCCACAATGATGGGTCTCGCGCAATTGCCCAAGCATTGATAAACACTTGTGTCCCTGCTGCAATGTCGTAGCCCATTACTTTGACATCTTGAATGGCTTCACGAGGAACTAGCAATGGCACAGGAGGGTGCAACCCCAAAGACTCTTTGATCACCGCTTTCAAGTACTGCATTTTCTCTACATCATCTTCGGTTATGTCCTCTTTGCCTCTGGCTATTCCTCGAACCTCATTCTGCAGTTTCTTCATGACTTTGGAATGTCTTAAAAGCTCTGTCATTTCCCATTCTAGAGATACGTAGGTAGTTTCAATTCCACCAGCAAACATATCCTACAAGAAACAAAAAATGGTTATTAACAATTTATTAAAGTCCGTCACTCTTTTTTTCCAAAGAAACAATCATTTGGAACCAGTATCAAAAACTAAATCATGTCAAGATCAATAGGTTAGTGAGTCCTTGAATTTTAGGGAGAGATATAAAGTCAGACTTACCAAAGTGATAGCTTTAATGCTCTCTCTGTGAAGAGGAGTGGCAGTAGTATTGTTCTCTCTTTGAATTCCAAGTAAAATGTCTAAAAAATACTCATGCCCTTTACCATGTTCATCACTCCCACCACCGCCGTTCTCTTTTTTTTGACGATCCACTTGCTCTTCTAATACACTCTCCAAAAAAATTTCGAGCTCTTTAGCAACCTTGTCCACTTTAGCATTCAAACCATTGACACGATTCAACCACATAAGCCATGGGATATAGTCCCCCACATTGAAAACTCCCAAAACCTCCATAAGCTCCCCAAATAGCTTTTTTACTCTCCTACCACCTTCCCCTCCACTGTACTTCTTCCCCAAGGCTACGCGGCACATTACATCGTTTGTCATTGAGATTAACATTTCAGTCAAATTCAATGGTGAAGAAGGAGAAGAACAACAAGATTGTTTGATCTTCTCCAACATTAGGGCTGTTTCTTCTTCTCTCACCCCATGAAAAGACTGAACCCTTCTATTACTTAGAAGATGGAGCACACCAATGCTTCTTGCATGCCTCCAATACTCTCCGTATGGAACAAATGCAATGTCCTTGTCATAAGTGATTCTACTGGGAATGCTTGATTTAGGTCTGGTTGAGAAGTTGAGATCATGGGTTTTCATTATCCCCCGAGCTGCATCAGCTGAGGAAACGATGAGTGCAGGCTTGCTGCCGAGGTGAAGCAGCATGAGGGGGCCATATTTTTGAGCTAGTGTTTGGAGGGAGCGATGAGGAAGCAATCCAAGTTGGTGGAGATTTCCAATGATTGGGAGCTTTGATGGAGAAGGTGGCGAATTTCTTCGGGTTTTTGGATTGGACAACCATTTCAGAAGGAAGACTAAGGACAAGAACAAGGGGAGAATAGTGTAAAGTGAAGAGTTGAATAAGAACGACATTTCTTGCTGCTGGAGATATATTCTACAGAATGCAAGGCATCCTATATATATATATTTTCTAGTGAGTGATGAAATGTTAAACTACGTTAAACCTCGTAAACAGTTTCTAAAATATGCTTACCAAATGTGCTGCCAATTATTTATTTGGTCAAATGAATTTTTCAAGCAACTCATAAAATACAGAACATTTAAGCATCATGCGAATAATATATATGAATCTGGAGACGTTGGATCGCCATTAAGACTATAAAAAATAAAATAAATAAAATAGGGAGGTGTGATCCCCTATGGGATACCATTTGGAGAGTGAAGAGATTCCCGTACAGACCATGACAATTAAGATGAGAAACCAAACATTAATGGAACTATTCTCAATAATTTATAATATGTTTTCATTTCTTAATTAGCAATAGAAAAGAGCGCCGGAATCTCAGGGGTGGTTGTGGGATGCTTTTTCTGACTCTCTCGGGTGTTGTGGGTTGATTATTAATCCCATTTCTGTGACAAGTCTATCTGCTATTTTTTGTTTCAACAATTTCATTCAAGCTTTCAGTATCTTGGGTTAAATGCAGTGAATATTTTTCCTTAATAATAATCGTTCTTGAAGGTTGGAGGTTCAACAATTCTATGAATGTTTCTTATTATGAAGTCTGCTATTGAAGGTGGATTATACAGAATAAGAGTGTGGATGTAGGTTACGCCACGTCTATGAGTTGTGCAGTAGAAGATAATTTGTGTTGAGGCAGAGCCAGAAATTTAAGATTGGGGCCGAATTTGAACTATGTAACAAAATTTTTTTTAAAAAATTATAAATCAATTGTAATATATATTTTTTAAAATACTAGTCATAGCATATATATTGAGAAAATTAAAAAATGAGAAAAATGCAACGTAGAAAAAAAAAAAATTGATGTCAGAAAGAAAATTATGGAGTAGAAACTTAAATAAATAAGCATTGTTAGAAAATCAATTTTTCTTTATCAATTGTTTCACTTTTTCAAAAATCTAATTTTTGGAAGAAGAAAATTAAGTACTTTGATTTCACTTGGGAAAGATATACATAGATGAAATATTAGAAAAACATAATGAATTTTAACTAAAAAAAATTATTTTAAATTGAACAAGATTATTCTTGAGTTATTAAACAAAATACAAATAGTTATAAAATTTGTTATTTAGAAAGTTATAACTAAAAGTATTAGCATATATGATATTATTATTGTTATTGAGAGTCTCACAATACTTTAGTTTATTTTCTTTCCAAATATTCCTAGGACTTGCCAATAAAGATTGTTATATAATTTTAAATATTTTTCTTATAAATACCATTTTACAAAAATGTTTGACAAAAAATGGTATTCCTTTTTAAAAAATGGTATTTACATGCATTTTTACCAAACATGAGGGAACATTAGTTATTTTATTTCTTTTTTTTTTTTTTTTTTTCTCTCTTGAATTATTATGATAGATATTGTACGTGTATATATAAATAAAATAACAATGTGTTGCCATAATGACTATAATAATTATATACCAAAAAAAAAATGACTATAATAATAATGAGCTTAAATTTTTGTTTCATAATATTTGAACTTTTAGAAGTATAGTTAAAATAGTGCAAGGTGAAAAAAAATTAAATTTCAAGGAGACACAAACTAATTTTATTTTCAAACTCTTTATTTTAGGTTAATATATATGTTTTGAAAAAAATTGGGGGGCTAATTGAAATTTTTAATAAATTTTAGGGATAAAATTTATAAATTAATTAATATTTAGGGGCTATTAATAGAATTTAAAAAAAAAACTTGGTTGGTCAATATGTGTGTAAGAAATATTAGGGGGGGGGGGGGGATTTATAAATTAATTAATATTTAGGGGTAGTAAAAAAATTTTCAAAAAAGCTTGAGGGGGCTATAGCCCCTGCTACCCCCCTTTAGCCCCGCCCCTGTGTAGAAAGTTTTTTATTTTAAAAATAGATCTGTGTCTTTCTATTTTAAACAACTTTACTTATTTTATCAATTAATTAATTAATCTCATGCAAGATAAAATAAAGTAAAGTAAATAGAGTTAGAGATGACACCGAAATTTTTAGCTAGGAAATCCCAATTGGTAAAATAAACCAACTGTTTGCGAGAAAAAGCTCGTGGGCTGTGTAGTCCAAAGTAAATCGATCCACTATATTTGAAACAAAGTACAATGGACTTTGACTCAGGGTCACACCCTATCGTTCTACCAAACACCAATCACTGACAATCTTCTGACTTTGTGACGTTCCGTCCAACAGCTCTTGACTTCAGGCTTACTCTTGATCTATGTAGAAGGATTGCTTGTAGATCAAACAACACTCCTCAAATGCTTTGACCAATTCAAAGTGTGATCGTTTCACCTCCGTGGAAAAAGTAAATCTGTTTTCTCTGATCGTTGTAGATGCAAGATTCAAAATACTTTGAACACGATCAGGAATTGAACAACACTCTAAAATCACTCTTGTGTTTATGTGTGTGTTCTAGAAAGAAAGACAGAAAAATCAGATCTAATTTTCTGCAAAATATCTCTCAGATGGGCTTTTTAAGAATTAGAAGATGTAATGCAAAAACTGTATCAATCTAGATGAAAATCAAGGTTTAAATAGAATTTTCAAAGACCTAGATATGCATAGGAAAAAGGTAATTTTCGTGCATACGACTTTTGGAAGAATTCTAAACCAAATAGGAAGTTTTAGACACAACAAGAAACAAATACCCAAATTGTATCAGTAAGTGGAACAGATAGCCAGGAAGTGGAACCGGTACCCAAAGGACAGAATGGTTTTTTCGAAGCAAAGGTTCCTGAACCAGTTCCCAAGTTTGGTACCAGTTCCCACTTGACAGAATTCTGAATAAAGGATTAAAACTTGGAAAATTTCTGTTTTGGTAACTTTGGAGAATATACCATGTAGGTATAGTGTCCTAAGTGGGAAACAACTTCCTAAAGTTTTGTTCATACCTTTTTCGTAGATCAAAGTTTATTAAACTTGAACAACCTTCCAATTCCATAACTGATCTCGCTCTTGATATGGTAACTGGAGAATTACAATTCGATTGGACTTGTTTTGACATCGAAATTAGCCAATTACAAAAATTATATCTCACAAGATCAACTATATATTTAAACCATGCTAACCACAAGCAAGAACAAGATAAATGTTTTAACACTTGTTCGATATACATGGACTCTAGCCAGCTTAGCACTAGTAACTAGACGATAAGCCCATAAAGCAAACCCACAAACGTTTATCAATGGGTCCAAAACCTCAATTCGACCAAGCCACGAACTGTAGATCGATGGGGCCAGAACCTCTATCAGACCAAGCCACAAATTGTCAATCGATGGGTCCAGAATCTTAATCAGACCAAGCCACAAATTATCGATCGATGAGCCCAAAACCTCGATCCGACCAAGCCACAAACTGACGATCAATGGACCTATAACCTCAATTGGACCAAGCCACAAATGAGTTTCTAATGGTTCTAAACCCTAAGAAATACCTCAAACAATTCCCGAAACACTGTGGCACACAGCTCCATGCATAAATAAAATAAAATAAAATGGCCGAAAAATATCAAAAAAAAATCTGAGATGCCATAGTATTCTTCCCTCGTGCAGGAGCATTTATAAAGTATAGCTTAAACAGATTATAACTAAAATGGCTAATTGTAATGTTTCTAATTTTTCATTTTTGGAGTTTTTTTATTTTATTTTTTGGGATTTTTCTTTTTTACCTCGTTTTGCATGCCGGGAGGTCCAGGCGGGACCCGCAACCGGTTTTGTCGTGCACGGGGTTATTTTTTGGGGCATTCAAATTTCTTGCATCATTATTTAGTGCATGTTTGTGTGGCTATGTGGTTAAATGTGCATTGTAACAATTGTATATGTATATGTGCATATATAAAGACAAAATAGATATTTATTTTGGCACGTGGAACACCCGCTGTGGTATTGGTCATTACAAAATGACCACATGGGTTATTTTCCTGACCATTCTTCTTCTCCCTTTTTTTGTGTCAGTTTCTTTCTTTCTCTTCATTTATTTATTTATTTATTATTATTATTATTTTTTCAAATTCAGGGCTTGATTTCTTCGAATTCTCTTGGGATTTTAACTTTGCCACTAAAGGCAAAGTTTACGAGTTCAACGAGAGCTTTGCATTTATTAGAGCTGATTTTCGATTTGGGGACTTTGAGATTTCGTGATCAGGACAAATTTTGGAGCTTTTGTTTATTATTTGAGGTAGGGGTTTCCTAATGCCTTAAACTTTGACTTTTCTTAGAATTGTTACCTTGTTCTTCTTTAAATTTTTAAGATAAAGGTTATATTGTGAAATTATTGCTATATGAAAGTCAATGATGTATTCAAGTGCCCAAAAGCATGCTTATCTGAACAAATGTGTTATTTTATGTTGAAGTTAAGTGCTATCATGATTATGTTGTATTGAGTTATATAAAGAGCATGCTTATGATTGAATGTTGAAAAGATGCTATGTCCATAGATTTTACATTATGAATGCCATGCTAATGTTGTTATTGTTATATAAATGGAGTTGAGGTTATTTTGATATGAGAAGCTGCATTTGCATTGCATGGTGGGAAAGGGAATGAGAAAAGGCAATTTTAAATGATTTTTATGAAATTGAACCGGATTTCGTGAGTCCGGTGCTAACTTGACCAAGAAGGAGCGCGACCCGGTGTATGGCGTGAAAAAGTTGAGATATTAGGCACCAAATGGTTGCCGGATTTGGACCAGTGATACCTATCAATCTCGCCTCAGTAAAGTCGGTTAGTGGTTTTTAAATTGTGGGTTTAAGATTAGTAAAAACCAAGCATGGGGATATGGTGCATTGCATTTCATACTATGCATAGTTTTGTTGAAATATATTATGTGGTTGATGGAAATGCTATTTTATGTTATAAATGTGATATGGATCCCCAACGTATGATCCTGATTCCCTCTCTATCCCTATTATATGTTTCATGGCTCAAGGGAGTCCAAAGTTGACGCCTTAGGCAACTTCTACTGAGCCTCCGTGCTCACCCCTTCTTTTATTATTTTTAAGTCGCAAGAAGGAAGTGGCAGACAACGTTCCACCAAGAGCTTAGGTGGATTAGAGGACTGTTTTGGGTTATCTTTTGGAGTTAAACACCACTTTGAAAAGTATCAACATGATATGTATAACCTTGTAACTTGTAACTATATTCACTTTTGTAGCATTTCGATGTAACTTCATGTAATGACCATTAAGGCATGGAAATGAGCTATATTGTTATTCTTGGATAAATGGAATAAATGAGACTCTTTTGGTGTAAATGTTGATGATGATGATTTTGAGACGTTGTATCCTAATTGTCGTGAGTTGGGATAGGTTTTACATTTCACTTTGGCTTATGTATGAGTTCGATTGGGTATAGGATTCTCAGGATCATAATCTGCAAATCTTGCAGCTTTCAGGGCCTGTCGGACGGCTGGCAAGGCTAGCCAGCCGATCGACAGTGCGTTTCAAGCCAAGATAGTGAGTTGTGTTCTTAGGAGCATTGTTTTGGCTGGCTGACTATCTCAGATGGCTGACCGACCTTTACCTGTCAGCTGGCCGACGTAAGGCCATCAACCGATCGACACTGCCCAGTCCCTTGACGTTGTTGTCCCTATTTATTTAGCCATACCACAATTCACCATATGTATGTAAATGACGTATACATTATGTACTGACATTGGGAATGACTTCTGTGCCCTTAAATAACCTCGAGTTTAGGTAAGGACCAGGATAGCAATTCGAACCCCTAGGTTCGGGTCGTGACAAATTTGGTATCAGAGCAAAGGTTCAAAAATCTTTAGGACGATGGGTAGTGGCTTACCTAAACGGGGTGAAAAGTTGACTTGCATTGACTGCATGCCTTGTGTTTAATTGTTTACTGTTGTAAGGAGCATGCTTACTTATTATTTGCTTATGTGTATATGGTTTTTAAAGACATGTTTTTTTGCTAAGTATTCGCATGTTTACGTGTTTAAATGCTAAAATTTGTGTTACATGGTCATGTATGCGAAATAATTATGTGGTCTAATCATGTAAATGAAATGTGAAAGAGGTTGAAAGCATGTTGATTGTGAAAAGATGGCAAGGATAAGGTGCATGGTAGTGGCAAGTGGTAGGCACGGTTCATGCAACTATATTTGTAATGATAATGTGACGGGTAGTTAGGCATGGTTTATGCCAGTATATTTTTATATATGAAAGTATAATAATCATAGAAAGACTGGTTACTTAGATTTTAAATGAAGGGACACAATTATACCGAGGTATGACCTTTAGAGGTTAGTGGTTGTGACATAGGTCACGGTTCGGTATAAAGGTTCTCTTCGAACCGGTTTGTGGTGGGTGTGATAGAGGTTGCTAGAGTCACGAGTGTAGTTTATGGGTTGTAGACGTATATTTCAGGTATTTTGGTATGGTCTAAGAAAACGTGTTGGTTATGGTTGTTAAGGGGACTCTTTTGATTCAGTAAGGTAGGTTGATGAAAGTGTGGAATTAGGTTAGGTCGGTGCCAGGTAATCGATTGATAGATGTGATTCAGTTAGCAATCCTAAAAGAGTCTATTATGGAGGCTGGTTAGTTGAGGAGTGATTCTCATTTTGGAAAGCTACAAAAGTGTATTACGAGTGATTGACTCTCAGAGATTTAATTGCATGGCTTGGTTGATGAGCAAAGCCATAGGTTGGCACAGTTGTTGTAAGTGTCTCAAAGTAGTGTATAATGGTCAGTTTTAGTTGTGTAGTACAGGATTGCATAACAAAGCAGGTAGTATGGGGTCATTGAAGTGTTTGGTCATTTACGGATGAAGAAATAGATGGTAGGTATTGTATTACCAAATGGATTGTGTTTTAGAATTTGAAAGCTGTGGACTAAAGTTGTATGCTGGTTGTGTCTAGAATGTCAGGATGTAGTACTTGTTGTTTTAGGATCCAAGAGATAGACTGTTGATTAGAATGTTTGGGATGAGGGTGACCTCGTAGGTTTAGCTGGTAACCCCATTTGACTTTGTCGGGACAAGGGTGTTCTGAGGAACGGTGAAGAGGAAAGGTAATGATGTTGAACCTAGAGCGCGAAATTATTTTGATTAGGCGCATAGATTGCCTTGGGAAAAGTGGTTCGAGTAACCGGTTAAGGGTTAGTGGCTGATTGTGTTGTAGTGGTTTTAAGGAGACAGTTAGGCATTGAGCATTCTGGTTTCGGTGCTCATTTTTTCTTTTGGGATTTGTTCGCATGGCATTGCCCTATAAAGATTCTCTTCTAGTGACTAGGTAGTGGTTGTCGAGAGTAATGCATACTCTCTTATTGTGATGGTGTCATTCTAGGGAGGCTTAAGGGGAGATCGCCTGTTAATGGCTTGATGATCTGGTGGGATAAGAGGTTCGAGTTTTCATTTGGGATGAATGGTAATAAAAGCATTATGGCATGATGTTTTAGTGCTGATGAGCGGAATTGTTTAAGTTATGATTCGAGCTAGGGTGGATTAGAGAGTATAAGTTGTTTGTCGTATGTTATCAGGTAGGTGATAGGATTATGCATCGGTTGAAGAGATTGGGGACTGATTAGTCTTTAGAGCCAGTGAGGGCGTTGTTTCCATATAGACACCTTTTTCTTTTGACGAGTCAGTGGGTCACGGGTCTTGTATGCACGTTGTTTGATGCAGTGTCGCCTAGGAAGGTAGAGATGGAATATGTGTCGATGTGTCATTTCATGACATAGAGGTTATTGATTGGGAGTGACTGGTTCTGGATAGAGCAGGACGCGGTGTCCGACAGGCTATAATCTTTCCTAGAGTTAGTATATTATGAGCATTGATGCTCTTACTTGAAGGTCGTGTTGTAAGTTGTATCCTAGTACTCGACAAATGGGTGGTATGGATCTGATTTGTTTTGGCTAGCATGGGTATTGCGGTATACCATATTCAAGGTTTCGGTGTTGATAATGTATGACGGTCCGTTAGTGGCGAGATCACCTAGAATTGAGTTCGTAATTCCATATGGGTATCCAGTTGGTGCTTCTCCTTGTGTGTAAGGAGTTCAGTTCATCTCAAGTGAGATTGAGTGTCCACGATTTGGGCGTTTGGCGAGTAGCGTGTGAGGGGGCATTAGGTACGCCTGGATTCAGGTTGTCAGTCTCATGTGAGTGTGGGGTTCATTACCCTTCCCTTTGTTCTGGTCCTGAAAAAGACGTCATTTGTAATGAGTCTTATTATCTATTTAAGAGTTGTGCGCGTTTGCGGATGGGCGGACCCGTGTGTGGTTCGTTATGCTATTAGAATTCACCGGTAAAGGTTTGGTTGAATTGGTTGACTCACTCCTATAAAGGGAGGTGGAGTCTTTGCTTTTTATGATGCTTGTTTTGTGGACAGTAGTGGCCGATAGAGTGTCGGGTGTGAGTTGTTGACTGAGGATGGTGTAATCCCAATGGTGTCTGGTACTAGTGGTGATGGCTACGGGGATGCTTTGTGAACTGTAAGTTCCAGAAGGACTAAGTGAGGTGATGTGAGTAATGTACTTAAATGTTTTCATTGACGTTTAATTTGAGTAGTGTCTTGAGGACTAGTGTTGATATCGTTTGAGTACTATCTAGTTAGAGAAGTGAATGTGGGGTTCCTTTGAGGAATAATAATAATGATTGACTCGGTTGTTGAGATTCTAGGCAAGAGATGGTCATATGAGGTAAGTACTGAATTGAATGATGTTATGAGGTTTATACCTGAGGACGGGAACGATGTTGGTGTTGAGACCGAATCGATGATAAGAATGGCCTGGCCAACCATTTCTCCTGAATCAGTCCCTCTTTAGCACGATGTCGGGTCAAAGGTCAATGATTGTTTCGATTTGTCAGGGACAGTGAGAGTATGGTATTATGCGTTGTGTCGTTGTGACAGTGTGGATTTGGTCTGAAAGAGACTTTTATTTGACACCAGTGTTTTATGGATTCAGGTAGTTTGTCTCGGATGACGAGGTACGTTAGGTAGGAATATGAGTCTGATGAAGTTTAATGGTCCGATCATTTGGTTATTGAGTTATGTTTAGGGATTTATATACTGAAGACCTGATAATACATTTTGTGATTGGTGTGACTCGTGCTTATACAGTTGTTGGATGGTTTCTGCTTAGCCTTTTTGGGAGGTGTTAAGGATAATGATTGCTAGATGTTGTGATTGGTATGTGATGGAGTAGCTACGTGTTAGGTAACAAATGTGTTATTTGTCAGGGATGTGTAGATTTGAGTTTGAGACTCATTGTGTGATAGTCGGGATCCTTTATCTTGAGTTTTACGTATCCTTCGTCATATTCGGTGACCTTGCAACTGTTCTTTTTCAAGCTTCGGAGCCTTGTGTAATAGTGTAGAGTGGACCGATGTCCGTTTTGAGTCGGTGTAGAATCCAACGGGTTTTGTAATATGATGTTGTGAGTGATTAGTACCCTCATAAAGCGGTGAGCATTATGTTTTAGTGGCAGTGGTGTGTGATTGCCTATTGACATCCGGTGTCACTACAACATATTAGGTTTTTACCAGCACTTCTAAAAAAAGCGCTGGTATAGGTCTAATATTACCAGCGCTTTTTTTACCAACGCTTTTTTTAAAAGCGCTGGTATAGGTGTAATGGTACCAGCGCTTTTTTTAAGAGCGTTGGTATAGGTGTAATCGTACCAGCGCTTTTTTTAAGAGCGTTGGTATAGGTGCAATCGTACCAACGTTGTTTCAAAAAGCGCTGGTATAAGTGTAATCGTACCAACGCTCTTACAAAGAGCGCTGGTATAGGTGTAATCGTACCAGCGCTTTTTTTAAAAGCGCTGGTATAGGTGTAATAGTAGCGCTCCTAGAAAAAGCACTGGTATAGGTGTAATAGTACCAGCGCTTTTTATAGGAGCGCTGGTATAGGTGTCCCCATTTTTCCACTTCCCTCCAATTTTTTTCCCTTCCCTCCATTTTTTCCCTCCGTTGATTTATATATAGAATATTTGGGCCCTAAAACTACGTCGTTTTGTGGGGAATTAACATTGTATTCTCCACTTTCCCATTTCATTTTGCAATAGCCCTAATCCTTTCATTTTGCAATAGCCCTAATCCTTCAGCCGTTCTCTTGCCTTCCATCACAGCTCTCTCTCCTTCATCACGGTCTCGCCCTTCTATTACCGGTCGCGCCCTTCCATCACCGGTCAACGATTCGAACTTCCTTTTCACAATGTAAGTTCTTCAAGTGAAAGCTTGAACCATCACTCTCTCTGTCTTCATATTCCTAACCCAACCATTCCTATTCCAGACATCATCTAAGTAGATTTTGAAGCAATTCGACTTCGAGTGCATAGGGGAAGAAGTGTCGTCATCAAGCCGGGAATACAGAAACAGCCAAAGCAGTAAACAAGATCAGGTGGGTTTGATTTGAGATTGGAATTTAGTTCAAGCGACAACGCATCCTCCCAATTTCAATGATTCTGCAACCACTATTTGATCTCATTCTGTACCTAAGATTGTTGTTTTCAATTTTTTTTTCCTTTGTACAGGAGGAAATAATCAATCGTAGCTTGGATTGTTGGAACAAGTTTTGTCGTTAAGTAGTCTGATTTCGTTTTTCAGGTAATTTCTTTCTTTCTTTTTTTTGTGTTCCAACATTGAGAAAATTGTATATAAATAATATACAGTTTGTCGTTAATTAAAATTAATAATATTATTATTATTACTATTTTTTAATGTTTGGTGGTTAAAATAATACTGTATATAAATATCAATTAAAATTCAAACAAATCTCAATATGATTAGTTGGGAATCGAAATTGGATCCTCTAAGACAATTAAGGATACAAAAATATGGGGCTTAAAAATTCTCTTACTGTATAATTTTTCTGTACAGTTTTCTGAAAGAGTAATCTTTTTTTGGGACAGAAGAAGTATGTAGTAAGAATTTCCTAAAAGAAACGTTCTTCTTTAAGAGTTAAAAGTTTATTAAAAAAGACATCCTTTTTTAAACAAAGAAAAAAAAAAATTTCGAAGAATTTCCTAGGATTGTTGTTTTAAATTTTTTTTTTTTAAGTTTTTGGCTAACTGTATGTTTAATTTCAAATGTGACGTGGAATGGGTGTTTGGTTGAGGAGCTCAACCAACATTAAGAAATGCTGTCTAGAGAGAGAGAGAGAGAGAGAGCGATGGGTTATTAAATGGGTCGGAAACACCTTGATAGCTAATTCCCTTTTTATATATTGAGCTAAGACTCAAGCTTCATAGACATGTGTTAAAGCGGCCCTTAAGAGGCATCTTAAAATTGACAATGTAAGATGCAAAAGAGTCAACAAATTCTTTCATTGATCGTTTGATTAATTGGGTAGACGAAAATTTTCCAGTAGAATATTTAGTAGCAGCAGCAGAAAAGCTCCTACAATTTCGATGTTGATTAACTCATTCTATGAGGATTACTAGTATTATACTTTTGCTGTTCAGGTCTAAAAGCTACTTTTTTTTTCTTTGAATAGCGCTTAGGAAGCACATGAATTCAATCAATACAAATTGTCATTCTTGTACTAAAATTGTGGTCCACTGAATCAAATCATCCTTCAAGCTTACACTTGTGTGGTGTGATATGCAATTTTGCTGATATATATCCTTTATATAATATGCCTTCCCAAACACAAAACAAGTTCTTTGTTTCTGAAAGATTGCAATCTTCAGATAGGATCGATCAATCTTTATCACATGATACAAATAACAAAAACAAGATTATTTACCCAAAAAAAAACAAACAAACAAGATTGGTATTATCTCATAATAAATTTCAGGCATCTGTTTGTAGACACACAGCAGTGTGTGTGTTTTTTCTTATATTGTGGCTATGCTTTAGACAAGTAAGCACACCAGTGTGAATTGTATTAGGTCTACCAGCAGTTGATTACCTCAGAACAGTACAATAGCAGCATGTGATCCATAATGATCTTGATAATGGGTGTTATAGATATGGTAGGCCAAAGGTATTTGTTGTGATGTTAACATGTGGTTGTTAATTGTTTCCTTGTGACATGTATAGTTTATCTACATCATGAGCATTCATGTAGTTCTTATTGGTTGAAAACTTATCAACATCATGTATTATTTTCTGGACTATGATTTGATCATTTCAGTATCTGAACATCTCTTTGTGTAAAAAGGGTGCACTTGGAAGTAACTTCAATCACTAATGATGTGTAAATGACCAATAGAATTATTATTTTTTTACTGATGCCACTTTTTGGAAAAAGTTTGAAGGTGGACCAAGAGTGATCTCTCTTTGGAACACCTACTTTAAACATTTAAGATTAGCCCCTAACCTCTCTCAAAGTGTAGGGTTGGCACTTATTTAAATCAGAAAAGACCATATATATTACAACTACTTGCATTTTTAGTCAAATGGAACAAAATCTAGTATTTTATGCAAAAGTTATGGCAATCAATGATTTTACCGAAACATAATGGTTTTATATAATTTCCATTGGACAACCAAAAATACCCTAAAGTTTTGAGGTATTTTTTTATTTCTTTTTATTGATTTTTCCTGGATTGTGCACTGCCTTTTTTAAGTAATTTGATTGCATTCTCTTAAATGAATTCTCACTTTTTTGTTTTCTTTTCCAGGAAGGATAAATAATAAGCTGATAATGAAACGAACGGTTAGTGAAGTGGAAAAAGTGAGTGAACAAAATACCGAAGCTTCAACTTCAAAATCATCCCAACCACCGCCGAAGAAGAGACGGGGCCCGACACGATGCAAGAATGTCGTAACCGCGACAACCTTATTACCATTAACATACATATATATAGAGATCATCTTATATAGTTTACATAATTAGACTATATTCAATATGAAGGAGAAAAAAAAATTTCTGTCTTTATTTATGTACTAAACATCTACAATTGTTAATTTTTATTTAGGGTTAATAAGTTTGGACAACCGATCGACCCTGGAAGTGGTACATATACTAAATATTTGGGAACACTTGCCCGGAATGCAAATTTAGCTCCTTTGTGCTACAAAACTTGGTGGGAGATGCCTAAACAGCTGAAGGAGGATATGTGGAACATTGTAAAGGTAAAACACTTCAATGAAATTAAAAAAAAAAATTATGGAAAAAGTGGATTAACATGCAGCAATTATCACATTATCAGGGAAAGTATGATGTGAGAATCATGTCAAAACATAGGACAATATCCTCCATCGAAAAAAAATGGAGGGGGTACAAGTGTGAATTAAAAAGTGAATATTACTCAGTTAGGGATACAGATGCAGAAAGATTGGCAAACCCACCACCTGATGTTGAAAAGGAGCATTGGGAATTTTTGGTTAGGCATTGGGGTACGCCTATGGCGAAGGTAATCCTCCATCTACCAATTTTGTTTAAAGTCAATGAGTTGACTTTATAGTTTACCTGCTTTTAGTCATTATTTTAGGTGGAATGTTAGAACGTTTACTTTTTCTCACTTTTTGTAGGAGGTCAGTAAAAAAAATAAAGAATGTCGTGGGAAACAGACAATGATACATACTACAGGGACAAAAAGCTTTGCACGTGTTTCTGCCGAGGTTAGTTGAAGTTTTAGCAATATAAATTATTTTAGTTCTTATGTCGTTGAATGATTATAAATGTTAGTGGTAAATAATAATATATATCACAATGTCTATGTTTCTTTTATAGATTGAGGAAGACGAAAGTATTCAGCTTTCTCGTGCAGATTTATTCATTTGCACACATATAAATAAGGATGGCAAAGCTACTGATGCTGCTGCTTCGGAGATGATTATAAGTTTTCATGCTTCCATTTTGCAAAAAAGGGGTCACGTGCCTTGAAGTGACCAATTTTTAAACTCTTTGCGGTGTATTAGGGGGTCACATGCCTTGAAGTGACCAATTTTTAAATCATCGGCCCGTGTGGAGGCATTTTAATTTCATTGTTTATCATTGGCCCGTGTGGAGGCAATTTACTTTCTTGTATTTGTTGAAAAGCATGGGAGTATGGGATCATTGTATGTGGAGGCTTCTTGTTGATTGATTTGTGTTGTGGAGGAGAAGTATTTGATATTTGTTGTTTGTTGTTTGTGTTAATTTCTTACTCATACCAGTGCAGTGGTCTTTTGAATCATGGTAAAAGTATGATATACATATATAAAGTTAAAAGTATGATATACACATGTATAGTTTTTGGTCATCCTTGCATTTTCAATCATGGTAAAAGTATGATATACACATATATAGTTGTATTTCAGAAGTAGCTACTACAGCTTTGAATAATTCCATTATTTGGATCCTTGAGGAATGGGTAATGATGGATGATGGGCTGCTTCTATAGATCTTTACTCTTGGTGCAGTCTTTATGAGGATATTTGAATTTTGAACAATTCTATCAGGGGATAGAAACCCTTTATTGGGTATTTGAATGAGATTCATAACAGTATGTCTTATTTATTGTAGTTATTGTTTTTTTGTCGCAACTCTTACCTCTAGGCGGACTGTGTTTGCTTTGAAATCTTGTTAGATTTGAAGATCATATTTCAGTTGGGACTTGAATGGTCAGATATTGTTTCTGATCAATAATTGACTGAAATCAGGCATGCAAAATTTTCAGTATCTCACGTAAATTATCAATTCATGGGATCACATGTTTGCTATTCCCATCTGGATTAGGTTTTGTGGTGCTCAAAGTTGAATTGCAATTGTGCTTCTATGTAGAAGGCTTTTAGAACCTATTATGTTTTTTTTTTTTTTTTTTTTTTTTTTTTTTTTTTTTTTTTTTTTTTTTAAATCAGGTTTTGTAGAAATGTTAGCGTTTTTTTCTCCATAACCAAATAAAATAAACTACAACTGAAACAAGTTCAACATATAAGATGAAGAATTTTGTAGTTCCCCTGCAAGAAAGATCCCTGACAAAAAAATTAGAGCCGGAAGAGGAATCTCAAGAAAAAGGGTGGGGACATGCACGTAGATCTTAAGAGAAGACAATCACCATAAGTGTCACGCACACATAAGCTCTCCCAGCTCAGAAAGTCACTGAAATTTTTACATACCATGTACTATGAATTATATTGGGAACCAATCTTCTTGGAAAATTACAATGGAGCAAGCATCAACAACATGCCTAAAAAGGAAGTCTAAGAGCCTGAATTCATTTCCAGACCCAAAGATGACCATCTGAGCAAACAAAAAGAAAGAAAGAACTATAACAGCGAGACAAGATACCTGACCTCTTTATCAGCATGATCTGAGATCTGGCTGATGTAATGTGCAATGCGTTTAGGAGAAAAGGAATTTCCTGTGTCTAAGAACACAACACCACCCATATGATTCTTTGCAACATTTGAGGCTGCTTGTAGGTAAACCTGGACAGTTACAAGATTTTAGATCAATAGCATAACTCTGGTAAATCTGGTGATCAAATTGTGGGCCAAGAATAGTATAATAATTTAGTGATTTAGAGGCCATAAAACAGTTAGAAACATAATTCAGAAGCATCTGAAATTTCAACTAACTTGTATCGTTTTAATGATTGTAATTATAAGTGAATGGAGTTCTTACTTGTGTGTTTTCCCAGATGATGATGGCCCAACTATTTCTATTAGATGTCCCTCACATAATCCACCTTGAAGTAACATGTCAATCCTGGTTCATAAAATGATAATTAATTACTTAGGTGTCTTAATAGCATCATAATCTTAGTGTGGTAAAAAAAACAAATAGTGAATATTCAGGCTCAAGATACTTTTCACATCCAGTGGATAGAACATGCTTATTTTGTTGAGCATCTTCCAATAGCTCCATACCATTCAGCCAAGGTTGATGCTGACCATCTATGATAGAGAGGACCTGGGTAATCCCCTACTTGCTCAAAACAATAAAATAAATAAAAAATAAAAAATCATATAGTACTACCATAAAATACTGATGTATAAGAAAAACAATACTTTTGAATAGCGAACCTGCTTTAATCTTTCTGAATTAGAGTGTTGTTCTGCCAAAGCAACTAAGACACAGATGTCATGAACAAGGAAATCTTCAACTACACAATAATACACGAGGATAAATTAAAAATAACATAAATTTAGTTAGGCATGCAAGTTTTTGTAAGTAAAATGGACCTCAGACACACACACACACAAATAAATAAATGGGCCTCAGACTTCAGGTTGAAGCTAAGTACTATTATTTAGGTTCTGAAATGTCAGTATATTGCCCACAATTTTTAGCATTCCTTTAATTTCTAGCATTTCGTCTGTAAATGAAGTGGGTGTGAATATTTTGAAGCTTTAGATTGTATGAAAGTTCAAAGGTATGTACAACTATATTTTCACTTTGTGTGATACACTGCTGTTTCATAACACTTTGGCTTTCATCATTACCAATTTGTTATCTAATTACTTTTCTGTTCAGCTGTTTCTGGATTCCTGTTCTATCATTCATTTCATTAGATTTGTCTGGATGTTTCATAGCAGTATGTCATGGTAGTTCAAACTTTTTTTTTTTTGGCAGGAAAACATAAAGAACTTCAAAAAAGTTACTCTGACTCACCTATTGGTAGTTCCAATGATTTGTTCTCCATTGTGAGGGGAGAAGAGAGAACTGGTCGTGTGTGGATGCTTGGCTTCGGGCCTTCACCAAGCGATGTTTGGGGGCCCTCTCCTAGTAAAGCTGAACTGATTAATAATGCGAAAAAATCTGATGAGGAGGCACGTGCTGCACGCATAGAGTTGTAGGAGAGCATTTCAAAAATGCAAGCCAAGTATGACAACAAGTTGGAAAATTTACGAGCCAACTATGATAACAAGTTGAAAAATTTACAACAACAGGTGGCTATGCTAATGCATATGCAACAACAAAATTGTAGTGGACAGGTATATTTATTATTAGTTTTACTCTTTACTAAATATATGTTTATTTATGCCAAGATTTCATGTATTTTGTTTTCTTATTTTGAAGGGTTCTGATTCTTTAAATGCTCCTCCTAGAGTATCCCCAAATTTATTTTTTAGTTGTGATGCCAATTCAGTTAAGGTTATGAACTTTTAATTTCTCTTATATATATGTTAAATTTTCATTTATTATAATGTGTGCGTAATGAATTTATAAAAAATGTAGGGTAATTCAAATCAAATGGGCAAGAAGACTTGTTGAAGTTGAAGATGGGGTTGTGGCTGTGCTTTCTGAATTTCCTTCGCCTTGGATGGGTTCTTTTTGAAAAACTTGTACTACATTTGTCAAAAATTCTTAATTCTTTTTGTCTGACATTTAGTAGCTTTATTTAGACAATTTGGATAGTATATTGGCAGGTTAACTTGTGGTTGTATTAGTATACATTTTTGCTTTTTGGTTGACATTTATCAGCTTAACTTGTGGTTATATTAGTAGCCAATTTCGATGGTAATTTTTATATTGGCATGGTAACTTTGTGGTTGTATTATGTAAAAACAATTTGGATGGTATTTTTATATTAACTGGTGTTATATTGGATGACATTTAGTAGTTGGTAGTTGTAATAGTTGTATTCATATTTTTTTCCAAAAATTATAAATATATATATATATATATATATATATATATATATATATATATATATATAAATAAAATAAAAAAACCCTTTTACCAGCGCTCTTTTAAGAAGCGCTGGCATAGGGAGGGAGGGAAAAAAAAAAAAATTACCCTTTACCAGCGCTTTTCTAGAAAGCGCTGGTAAATACACTTTACCTTTTACCAGCGCTTCTGGAGAAGCGCTGGTAAAGGCCTACCAACACTGGATTTACTAGCGCTTTTGAAAAAACGCTGGTAAAGTGCTGGTAATTGAATTACCAGAACTGTCGTAGTGTGTCAAAGGCAACAAGGTTGGTGAGCTCATAATCTTGTAGTTTTGTAAGGTATTTCTCTAGAAGGTATGTGACTGTGGGCCTCTTTCTTAGGGAAGGTAGATTTCGAGGATGAAATCTCTTTAAGTAGAGTAGATTGTAATGTTTCTGATTTTTTCTATTTTCCATTTTCGGGAATTTTTTAATTTTTTGGGATTTTTCTTTTTCACCTCGTTTTGTGTGTCAGATACCGTGGGGTTTGCCAAGTGAGTTTTGAGGGTTGGTTAGGGCATTTCTTCGAGTTTGGGACTCTTAGAAATGCATCATTCGCCATTTCAACATTTTTCAGTTTTTCGGACCGGGGAGGTTTCAGGACCCACAACCGGATTTGTCGTGCACGGGGTTATTTTTCAGGATTGTCATATTTCTTGCATCATTATTCAATGCATGTTTGTGTGGCCATGTGGTTAAATGTGCATTATAACAAGTGTATATGTATATGTGCGTATATAAAGACAAAATAAATATTTATTTTGGCACGTGGGACCCACTATGGTAATGGTCATTACAAAATGACCACATGGTCATCTTCCTAACCATTCTTCTTCTCCCCTTCTCTGTTTCAGTTTCTTTCTCTCCCTTTATCTTTTCTTTTTCTTTTTCTTTTCAAATTTAAGGCTTGATTTCTTCAAATTCTCTTGGGATTTTAACTTTGCCATTGAAGGCAAAGTTTAGGAGCTCGACGATAGCTTCGCGTTGATCGGAGCTGATTTTTGATTTGGTGACTTTAGGATTTCGCGATCAGGACAAATTTTGGGGTTTTTGCTTATTATTTGAGGTAGGGGTTTCTTAATGCCTTAAACTTTGACTTTTGTCAAGAATTGTTACCTTGTTCTTCTTTAAATTTTCAAGATGAAGGTTATATTGTGAAATTATTGCTATATAAGGTCAATGATGTGTTTAAGTGCCCAAAAGCATATTTATCTAAACAAATGTGTTATTATATGTTGAAGTTAAGTGCTAGCATGATTATTTTGTATTGAGTTATATAAAGAGCATGCTTGTGATTAAATGTTGAAAAGATGTCATATTCATAGCTTTTACATTATGAATGCCATGCTAATGTTGTCATTGTTAATAAATGGAGTTGAGGTTATATTGATATGAGAGGGTGCATTTGCATTGCATAGTGGGAAAGGGAATTTGAAATGTTTTTTGTAAAATTGAACCGGATTTTACGAGTCCAGTGCTAACTTGACCTAGAGGGAGCGTGGCCTGGTGTAAGGTGTGAAAAAGTTGATATTAGGCCCCAAATGGTTGCCGGATTTGGAACCAGGGATTGCTCTCAATCTAGCCTTGGTAAAGTCGGTTAGTGGTTTTCAAAATGTGGATTTGAGGTTGGTAGAGACCAAGTATGGGTACATGGTGCATTGCATTTCATACTATGTATAGTTTTGTTGAAATATTTTATGTGGTTGCTGGAAATGCTATTTTATGTTATAAATGTGATGTGGATCGCTAAAGTATGATCCCGATTCTTTCTCTATCCTCATTATATATTTCGTGGCTCAAGGGAATCCAAAGTTAATGCCTTAGGCAACTTCTACTAAGCCTCTGTACTCACCCATTCTTTTATTATTTTTAGGTTACAAGAAGGAAGTGGCGAACGACGTTTTACCACATGCTTAGGTGGATTAGAGGACTGTTTCAGGTTATCTTTTGTAGTTAAACCCCACTTTAAAAAGTATCAACATGATATGTATAACCTTGTAAATTGTAACTATATTCACTTTGTAGCATTTCAGTATAACTTCATGTAATAACCATTAAGGCATGCAAATGAACTATTTTGTTATTCTTGGATGAAAGGAATGAATAAGACTCTTTTGGTGTAAATGTTGATTATGCTTATTTTAAGATGTTGTATCTTAATTGCCGTGAGTTGGGACAGGTTTTAAATTTTATTTTGGCTCATGTATGAGTTCGGTTGGGTATATGATTGTCAGGACCATAATCTATAGATCTTTCGGCTTTCAAGGCCTGTCGGCTGGCTGGCAAGGCTAGCCAGCTTACCGACAGTGCATTTCAAGCCAAGACAGTGAGTTGGGTTCTCAGGAGCATTATTTTGGTCGGCCGACTCTCTTAGTCAGCTGACCCTTGCTTCTCAGCCGGCCGACACTGCCCAGTCCCTTAACATTGTTGTTGTGACGATCTTGGTTTTTCAAGCTAGTGCGTCTTGCAATGACCTGAAGTTTGACTCGATAACGGATCCCGAATGCGAAAGTGAAAATAGAAACCAAGTCTCTAGAGATGCAATACATCTCTAAGACGCCAAAGTGATCTTCTATGAGGCCACGGAAGAAAAAGATCAAAAATAGACCAAGTATGCCCCCAAGGGCAAAATGGTATTTTCATACAAAAACAATGTCTCTAGAAATGTACATCATCCCTAAGACACAAGTGTGACTTTCCATGAAGTCACGGAACCCAAAAGAAAGCAAAGCGGAAGCGACGTTTTGAAAAAAAAAAAAAAAAAAAGGAAAAAGGGACAAGTTTAGCCCTAGAGGTAAAATGATAATTTTCAGAAAGATTTGGATACTACCGAGCACTCCATTGGATAGACGGTAAAAAATTAACAAAGTTAGACTCAAAAATCACTTGATTTGGAGTTCGGATGAAAAAGAAATGACAAAAACAAATTTGGAGACGTCGCGGCCAAGGAAGGGGCACCAAGGCACCCCATGCGCTCTAATGCGCGGCGATGCCATTGGCTGACAACAAGCGATATTTCCAAAACAATGTCCTTTTTGGACCCTTAAATGGATTTTTTTGGAAAAACACAAAGAAGAAACCCCCCTTAAAATCATGTTTTCTAGCTGACTATGTCAAAAGAAAATTTTAATTTTGATCTGAAATACCCAAAATACTCTTTTGCTCAGTCTTGACTAAAAACTTAAAAATGCAATTGCTTCAAGGGGTCGAATGGCTGAATATGAGGTTGTGTGATAAAAAGATTGTGAACGCAAACGTAATTAGTGTTTTAAAGCACGCATGAATGATCCGCGGCCCCTAAATATGCCCGATGCAAAATACGACCTATCAAACCTCAAATTTGCCTAAAATGACCTTTAACTGAAAAACTTGAAACTAAAAATACATAAATGCTTTCAAAAGACCGTTTAGTCATTGGCCACCCTTCATGCATATTAAAAGAGTCCTAATGAGTGTGTTTTGGCACACTTTGCACCAACCAAATTTAAAATAACAAATTAAGACTTTCAATTTCTTTATTTTTCAATAATAACACATGAAACCAAAAGCACTTAAAAGAACAACTTAAAAGTAAATGGCCCTTGGCCTCATTACATACACATCAAATACATTCTAAAAGGTGTACTTATGTGCACATTACATAATTAAAACCGAATATACATGTTTTGACATATAAAACCAAAAATAAGTTCATGCTAACAAGTGCATGAATGAAGTACTTCAAATTTACAAGACAACCAAGGAGTGTTGTGTATCCCGAAACATGATTCCCATACTTGAAAAATATCCCAACAAGGGTGAGCAACTAAAGTCACTCATAGGAAGATGAACATGTAAATGACTTAACGTTTTACAGTTTATTAAATTGATATAAATCAATTCATACGGTTCATACCACCTGACGTCTATGTCCAAGGTAAGACTCAAGAATCATCCTAAGCTACCTTAAAACATTTCTAGCACGAACCATAATATTTATGCAAGTGAACAACATAGGAGCATACGATAAAACGCAACAAGTTATAGATTATTAAAGTTATCAACTTTAAATCTAAAATGCGTAAAACAACTAAAGATACAATTTAGCATAATTGGAACTTCCAATACGATGCGACAAGATATAGATTCTCAAAGTTATCAACTTGAAATCTAAAATGCGAAAAACAACTAAATAATACAACCTAGCGTAATTGGGACCTCCAACACGACGCTATAAGATATAGATTCTCAAAGTTATCAACTTGAAATCTAAAATGCGAAAACAACTAAAGTGGTTCATGCCACCTAACGTCTAAGTTCCAACTGAGTTTATAAGATCATCCCAGGCTACATTAGAACACTAAAACACAAACCATGATATCAATGCAATTTAACCAACATTGAAACTTCCAATACAACATAATAAGATATAAATTCAAAAAGTTATCAACTTGTAATTTAAAATGCGAAAACAACCAAATGATACAGTTTAACATAATTGGAACTTCTAATACAACACAACAAGATATAAATTCACAAAGTTATCAACCTGGAATTTCAAATGCGAAATTAAATAAGGTGAATACTCGGACATCACCCCGGATCAAACTGATAATGTGATTACTTTAGGGTTACTAGCCCACGAGTAACCTCCCTATGTGCGCACTAGACTGTAGGGGAATTATCCCCTATATTAGAACTACCCCCTAGCCGTAGTCATACAACGACGTCCCAAGTTTCCAAAATCAACAAGTTGTACAACATATATATTAACATGTATATACAATATATAACTTATCTACCATGCAC